TGTTTGACGAAATGAAAATTTAAAATTGTTGAATGAACAATTACCATTTTTATTTTTTTGTCTTGGAAAATTTTTTAATAACATTATTAAAACCTTTTTACAGATTATATTTATTTTTAAGTTTACTTGAATTATAAAAATTTCCAACAAAAAATAATAACAAAACATATAACAAATATCGTGTTTGCAAAAACACGTGCCGGGTAAAACTTATTTTCCCGTTGCAACCGCAGTTTTTTTTACCAATATCCCAAAATAAAATGCGCAAGCCGGAAGTCTATTATGTACATAATACAAATACTAAAAAAACAAAAATTTATTTAATAAACTCGAGATTTCCTAATTTTATGACCACTTGAATTTTGTTCAATGTTATTTAAAGTGTTAATATTTAAATAATAAATATACAAAGTGATTAACCTTTAACAGACGGTGTTTTTTATTATTAATATAACATAGTTATCAACATGATTAAATGTTTAAATAAATTAACTATAGATATACAATATTGTTAATACAAATGTAAATGTTAAATATAACTTCTAGTTGAATTATGGGTTTTAGTGACATGGTTATTATCAAACATTGATTGTAACCTATGTCTAATTGATTTGACATTTTGTTGAAACAAAGAATGATCAAATAAAAACAATTGTTATTTATTTCATCGTGTAAATACGTCTATGTTCACATTTTTCATTCATGAGATTTTAGTTGATAATTACATATAAGCGAGATATTCTTTGCAATTATTATTTCTTCACTTTCTTTTCATTGTTTTTTAAATAACAACACACAATAGTAAACATGAGACGCGACTCATTATATTCATGTTTTGAACAATTATAAACAAATATTTTTTGTTTTCTTAATGTTATTTAATAGTTGTGTTTTTATGAACACATTTTTGATTTCATACTTGTTCAGGATACTGTTGAAACTCGAAATAGTTGATAATTTTTATGGGTTATGTCAACCTGTAAGTGGCAAAGCATTTTTATCAATCTATTATGTTTTTGTCATCTAAAAATTTAAAATACAAACAATGAAAACTAACTCAATTGTGTTAATTATTTTACAAATAAAATAAATCGAAGTTTCAAATGAATAATAAGTGCATTTGCCGGGACTCGAACCCGGATCTCCACCTTGGAAGGGTGGAATTCTGCCCTTAGACCACAAATGCTCACCAAATGTAATTTATATGATAGTTATTATTTCAATGTTTTCAATATCAAAAAATAAAAACGCCCCCCGGGGGTCTCGAACCCCCGACCTTACGGTTAAAAGCCGCACGCTCTACCGACTGAGCTAGGAAGGCACTTATTAAAAAGATTGTTAATTTTATAACATTATAAATTAAAAGACAAGAAGTCGAGGTTAGAAAACAATGTGTTGGTGTTTATTGAAGACATCAGTGTGTTATTTGTTATTAATTTTAATAATTTAATAATATTAGAACTATACAATTACTTTAAAAATGATTACAGTTAGTTTCAAATTAATTTAAAAATGTTCAACAAATAAATAAGATTGTACCAAATAAAATAAAAATATTATCAAAATAAATTTAAAGTGTTTCACAAAACAACAAAAATGTACCTTTTTTTTCAAATGTCTCATAATTAATTATTATTGTTTCAAATAAAATTCTTTTTGTACAAATTTAAATTAAAATTGTTTCAAAATTGACATTTTTTGTTTCAAATAAAATTAACAAAAATAATAAACATTTAGCTATAAATCGTTTCTTTTCATCACTTTTTCGGCTATTTCGTTGAAAAAATTACCAATAACTTTTCTGACATCAAACTTTTCGATACTTTCAAAACAATCTCCGATATTTTTTAACAGTCTT